TAAAATCAATACAAAAGCGGATGCTGCCATCCTTCTTTGGGACCAGCACCACCGGACTGCTCCAACTGCTGCTGGACCGCTCAATGACCCCCAGCTGCTTCATGACATCCAGCTCCTCCTGCAGAGCGGGTAGCAACCGCTCTGGGATGCGGTACATCCTCTGCCGCACTGGATTAGTGTCTTTAAGCTGGAGGTCATGCTCCACCAAGGACGTGCGCCCAGGCTGCTCGGAAAACAGGCCAGGCGGGATGATGGCCTGCAACTCCTCTGCTTGCTGCACTGTCAGGTGGGAGACATCTGGTCAGTTGGTGCAGCAGCTGCAGGGAAGAACTGCTCCTGCGGCTCCACATCACCCTCCACGTCCTGCACCAGGAGCTGCAGGCTGGGCGTCCCCCGCTCATGCCACTTCTTTAGCAGGTTAATGTGGAAGGCCTGCTTGCCCTTTCGTCGTCCCGGCATCTCCACCTCATAGGTCACCGGCCCCAGCTGACGTGCCACGGTGTAGGGACCTTGCCAGCGGGCCAGCAACTTGTTCTCCGTCGTTGGCAACAGCAAGAGAACCTGCTACCCGGGTGCGAAGCTCCTCTGCCTCGCCCTCTGGTCGTACCAGCGTGCCTGGGTCTGCTGGGCCTTGGTCATGTTCTCCACCAAGCTGGCCATCCTCCCCATCTTCTCCTGGATCCTCAGGACATAGGAGAGCACGCTGTCTGGCTCCTGGAGTTTTGGGGTCACCCAGGTATCACGGAGTAGATCCAGTGGGCCCCGGACCTGGCGCCCATACAGCAACTCAAATGGGGAGAAACCAGTGGAAGCCTGTGGTACCTCCCTATAGGCGAAAAGGAGGTATGGCAACCACTGGTCCCAGTCTTTGCCGTTCTCTGCTACAAACTTTCGTAGCATTGACTTCAGGGTTTGGTTGTATCGTTCCACCAGCCCATCAGTCTGGGGGTGGTAGGGAGTGGTCCGTATCCCCTTAATCCCCAGCAAACTATACACTTGTCTAAGTGTCTTGGAAAGGAATGCGGTGCCTTGGTCTGTCAGTATTTCATGTGGTATGCCTACACGTGATATCAGTTGTAACAGTGCTCTTGCAACTGACCCTGCCGTTATCTTTCGAAGGGGGAATGCTTCCGGGTAACGTGTGGCATAATCACACATGACTAGAATGAACCTGTGTCCTGACCTGGTTCTTTCCAAGGGTCCTACAATGTCCATCCCTATCTTCTGAAATGGAACGCCTATGACGGGAAGTGGTTGCAGAAGAGAGGGTCTAGCCTTGTGTTTGCTAGTGAGTTGGCAGGTTGAACATGTGCGACAGTATTTTTGAACATCAGTGTAGAGCCCTGGCCAGTGAAAGCGTTGTGCAATTCTCTCTAGGGTCTTAACAGTACCCAAATGCCCCGCCCAGGGTATATCATGACCGAGACCAAGCACTTTCTCTCTCAGGCATTCCGGCACAACTACCTGCTCTACACTGCCATCTTCAGGTTGGTGGTAGAGTAGGCCATCTCTCACAAAATAATATTCACCAGTTAGCCCCTTAGCCACACCAGTTTGCACACCATCAATTTCTGTCACCTTAGCAAATGCATCCTTCAAAGAGTCATCATTCTTCTGCAGATCACTAAGATTACGGGGAGGCTTCCACAAATCTCCATCAACAGGTTTCGGCAACTGGCTGACAACCTTATCTGCTGTGCCTTGCAGCTTAGCACGTCTTCGCTGCCTACGTGTCTTGGGTGTTTTCGTGGCAACAGGGGGGTCAATGTCACACTGGCTATAGGGCAACATCTCACACACTTCTCTGTGCTTCTTCCTGAGCATCCTCCTCAGCAAACTGCTTAGCCATGGCCCTTGTTACGACCATGCTAACAGGCACTGATGACAACACCAGATCAGGCAAAATAAGGACGTCCTGACCTAGCACTACAGGATACCGTAATCCTTGTACAATGCCTGCCCTAAGCAAAAAGAATTGCCCCTGAACCTCCAGACAAACATCTACCACAGGGTACACATGCTCGTCTCCATTCACACAACACACCCTAAGCTGCTCTGCCACCAATACAGCTGACTTATCAATCAGGTGTGGCTGGACTAGGGTGTGTGTACTGCCAGTGTTAAGTAGCGCAAATGTGGGCTCGTCATTCACTGTTACAGGAATTGTCTGCACTTTGGATACAGCATCATCTGCTCTCGGGACATTACAAAAACTGGACCCCTGAGGCTTCCTGTTCGGGCAGTCTCTGGCAATGTGGTTAGGTTTACCACAGTTATGGCATGTAAAAGGCGGCCTATGTGTGGTAGTTGCGGGTGTCGGTTGTCTAGGCGGTGGTGTGTAGGGGCGTGTAGGAGGCCTAGGTGATGGGGTGTAAGGGGAAGTGTAGGTGTGGTGCTGTGGCCTAACCTGACCTAACCCCCTAGGACCAACTCCCCCACCAGGAACCCCAGACTTACCATTGCTGGCTGGTCGGCTGTAGTTCTGGCCCCGGAACACCTTCGGACCCGGTCGAGCTGCCAGGAACGCTTCCACAAGTTCAGCTGCCTGCTGGCCAGTGGCTGGATTGTGCTCCTTAACCCAGACCCGGATTTCAGGAGCTAGGGTGCGCAGGTACTGCTCCAGGACGAGGATTTCTCCAATCTGCTCCACAGTCTTTCCTGCCGGTCTCACCCACTTCTTGTACAGGTCCATCAGTCGGTTGTACAGCTCCCGAGGGGTCTCCTCTGCTCGCACATCTGGCTCCCGGAAACGCTGCCGGTACGTCTCGCCGTTGATTTCATACTTGGTGAGGATTGCTGCCCTCACTTTGTCATAGTCCAAGGTGTCATTCATGTCCATCGCAACATAGGCTGCACGGGCCCGTCCCGTCAGGTACGGGACCAAGTAGATGGCCCAGTCTGCCCTCGGCCACCTGTAGGCCATGGCCAGTCTTTCAAATGTTGTCAGATATTGTTCAATATCATCTCCTTCTTCCAGTTTTGGCACTGCTGCCCTCGTCCAGGACACAGGAGTCAGTGTGGCTGGACCCATTGCAGAGGGTGGTGCTGCTTGCTGTGCTGGAGGCTGCATTGGTGCAGGAGCTGCTGGCGCTGGAGCTGCTGCTGGTGGTGGTGGTGGCCCCACCGGGTTGTGTTGAAGTCTCAGCTGTAGCAGAGCCCCATCGCCGTCATCATCTGGCTGCTGATGCTGCCCCTCACTTGCCTTTCGTCGCTCTCTCTCCAGCTCGTCGTGCACATTGTTGAGCTGAATCTGTACGCTGCGCCATCTCAATTCTTGCTTTTGCGCCTCACTTCGCTGGGCCAGCATCGACTTCTGTAGCAGGCTGTACAGCGCTGTCATGTCCAGGGTCTGCAGCGCACCATCTGCTCCGCCCATGGCTCCGCCCACGGCTCCTCCGGTCTTCTCACCAGCATCATGCTCCTCCACCTCTTCGGCTGTCAACTCCTCCACAGGGTCTTGGGGTAGACGCCGATACGCCATACTTCGTTTGGGCTGAACCCGTCTGCCTGTTGTCGTCGTCTTCTTCCCAGACTTCTTAGGCGCCACTGTCACCACTTCTGAACACCACTTGTGAGAAAGGGGCTTCTCCACCCCCAGCTCATGTCAGGACTGGCCCTCACCAATAAAGGTTAAAGAAGACGGAAACTAGGCAACTGAAAATATCGTGAAGACGGGTGCGTATTTATTTACAGTGCGGAAGTGAGCATACAAAAATATGAGAAACAAAAAAACTGAATAAACGCAAAAGAAAACCGGCCTCAATCAGGCAACACAAAATATAAACTATAACCAAGACTTTAAATACAAACTTCCTTGCACTTACTTTTCCCTTAAACACAGCCTCGCAGCAAGCGTGTGTTCAGCTCACCCTCTCTCAGTAGAATGAAAAAGCCCTGCCCTTTTAAAAGGCTTACAATCTCCAACTTACATCTAATTGGCTCAGAAATCAACCAATAGGAAAATAATGTTACAAAAAGTATTAAAAACACACTTTTAAATCCCCATACAAAATATCATAATATTCCCAAACCAACAATATAAATACTAGAAATGACACAGACAATATTTACACTCATACATGTTTGCAATCCAGCAATACAATAATATCTTCCCCAAAACATTCAACTTCCGGGTGCCAAAAGCTCTCTCCACTGCCAGATCAGTGTATAAGAACTTTGGTTCCGAGAGGCTCTGGTTTCCTCCCGGACCTGATTGTTGACGCACCAGAATGTGAGTAGAGCGGAATGTTTGAATGTAACGTGGGGGTTATTGCAATGCGTGTGGATTACGGTGTCGAGACAACGGGTACCGCGCTGCTCGCTAAGATGGTGAGTAACTGAATGTTCGGACCGAATGTACATACTATTTTGCGTGTGTGTCATCTCGCGCTAGCCGCGGTAAAGAGGAAACTTGTAATGAACAAATGTTTGGCAGGCTACAGGTGCTACGTGCGCATGCGCATGTGTGTGTGTGTGAATGAGAGTGTCTGTGAGTGTCGGCGAGTTCTGTGAGTGTAGGCGAGTGTAGGTAGTGGCGTTTCTGTGAAAAATGTAGTTATGATGTAATTACCATCCCTGGTCATTTTTCACAGTAGTGAGGTATCATACCAAGTCTTACTTATAAACCAATCATAATTTGATCAGTACCTGACAATTACCTACTGTTTTAGAGTTCCCATAACTGCTTGTTACATTACCATCACCTTGCAGAGATTGGACAAACAGAGAGGAAGGACTACCCAAGATGCTGATTCAACATTACAGAATCGAATAAATGGTGACAATGAACAAAACTGATTAATAATCAGAAACCAAAACTATCTCTAAACATAATTTAAAATTCTGAAAAATCACTGAGCTTTTACCCCTTTACCAATAATAAAGGTAACTAAATATATTGCAGTTATTTGTCTTCTGCTGCTTACTTTAAATTAGTTGGAGCCACTCTAACCTTTTGACATGCAAAGTTAGACATATATATTTTTTCTGATATCTTTAAGGACCAGTTCAACTCCTGTAATATGATATGGCCGGAGCCAAAGGATGTGTGGTCAACAGCTTTCATCATTTACACTGCCACAGTGGGTTTCTTTGGACCACTGCTAATCATTTCCCTCTGTTACCTTCTCATTGTTATCAAGGTATGTTTATATGTGTATCACAGCTATCTTCTGTATTTAACTTCAACCAATAAAATTGAATGTTATTCATGTAGGTTAAGTCATCTGGCGCAAGGGTAGGCTTTATTAATCGGCGTCGTTCTGAGAGAAAGGTCACACGGATGGTGGTGGTTATAGTAGTGGTGTTTGTGCTCTGCTGGCTGCCGTTCTTCATCGTCAATATGGTCAACCTGGTGGTCATCATCCCCGAGTCAAGTGCCACCGCTGGGATCTACTTTTTTGCTGTCATCCTGTCCTACGCCAACTCCTGTGCAAACCCACTGCTCTACGGCTTTTTATCAGACAACTTCAAACAAAGCTTCAGAAAGGTTGGTTAATAATCCTACTGCCTAAAAATAACACCTCAGAATTGTTAAAGTTTCCGTTGTGACTCAGTGTTGGACTTTACTCAGTTGGTGTTCATGTTCACTTCCATTTTGTCAGTGTTTTTCTTGTCCAAATTTGCTCTCTATAATAATTTGCACTCTTAGTGTTAGCCAACAAAGCCCTCACCACATTCACACGCTTTCGCCGACATAAACAACATCATCCCTAGAGTTTGGGGTTGCGGTTCTGTTTTAGGATTTATGTGAACCTGGTGATTAGTGCTGGGTCTCCATCATCAATTTCCGCTTCTTCCCTCTTCTACCTTCAACTATATTCACCATAAATTCTTATGAAATTAACCCAAATAAAACAAACTAATAACATACCCAAAGGCAGGTCTTGATGACATTAAAAGCTAGATGAATCTAAACTCTCTGCTTTGGATGGCAGATAAATCTGGGGTAATTTTTTTTTGCACCAGGGTCTATTTTCTATCAAGACTTGTCATTTGAATCGCATATAGAAGAGTTTTACAGATTTTCTTTCTCTCATCTCTTGAATATTGCAAAAATCAGAAACCCTCTGTTAAATCCTCTGTAAATCAAATTTGAGAAACCATTTAATGCCAACAACAAACAGTACAATCCCCTACTATAGTTCAGACTCGGCTTATGTTCACTCTAATCAACCTTACAGAGTGTTTAGCATTTTACAACCTGTCTGAAGTCTTAATAAATTCCTTCATTCCTTTTGTGCCGAATTTCTTATTAATTTGTTTTGTTTTCTGTAATTTTTTTCCTTAGTCCATATTAGTGTCAATTGTTTTCCCATATTATTTTGTATTGTGGGTACAGTTTGTGTTTTTTGTTCAGCTCTCTTTGCGCATTTCTGTGTTTCATTATGACCTCTCTTAGTCCCTCTGCTCAGCACTCTGCCCAAGAAGTCTACATTTTCTGATCAGGCATTCATGGTTTAATTCCCTACTCTTTCTTAGAATTTAAGCCTGTTGTTTTTTGTATTCTTGATTGTTTGGTTCTTCTTTTCCACTCACCTCGGTTCTGTTCCCAGCTCTCTTTGTGCCAAACCTATCATTTTAGTTCATTTCCTTTTCACCATACTGCATACTTCCTTCTTACACCATAATTTATGACAAGATTTATTTATTTTATTTTATTTAACCTTTATTTTACCAGGAAGTCCCTTGAGATAAAATCTATTTTTCGAGGGAGACCTGGCCAAGAGGCAGCAGTACAATAAGACATATAAAAATACATAAAAACAACATAATAAAATCAATCATAAACTAGACTTTAGAATAACAGTTACAATTCTCTGTGCAAGCGGTTAATAAAAATAAATACAGGGGATATTTCCATTAATTTAAGAACGATCTCTTAAACATTTAGAAATGCAATATTGTAGTTCTCTAACCTAAATCAGCCATTAATAAAGGATATTTCAAAAATATTGATAACAGAAGAAAATAGTCTACGTGTTTGCTTTTTTTTACATAAGCATATCGTTTTCATCACTGTTACCAGATTCTAGCTTGATATTTTGTCCAGTTATGTTTTGCATTATGTCCCAGGTTTTTGTTGTTAGAAGGCCTCCTTGCCATCCCCCTAATTGTTAACTCCATTCATAGATTCTACTTCGAATTTATCTTAGGACTGTTCTTGGAAACATAATGTTCTTTCCTTTTACTATTTAGTAATTCTCTTAATAATTTTAAAAATGAACTGGTGTAATAGCAGGATATCCATTCACACTGTCTATTATGGTGAATATTACAGTAACCAAAAAACCTGATTATATGCCCAAGAACTCCTCTTTAAGTCATTTCTATGAGAAACTTTGAGAAAATTAAGGAAGCATACAAAAAATTAAATCAAAATGTGTAGTTTTCTGTAAATATGTTTATAATAATAATCAAACTTTATTGATCTCAGATTGGCAAAATTCACTCTCTGCACTGGAAAAAATCTAAATCAAGATAAGTAATTTTTTTCTTAAAATAAGTGCATTTGTTCTTGGATTGAGGAGGTAAGAGACATTTTGCCAATGGAACAAGATCATTTCCACTTAAAATAAGAAAAAACAAATGCATTGTCTTATTTCAAGTGCATATTATCTGATTTTCTTATTTTAAGAGTAAAATACTCATTCTATTGGCAAACTATCTAATTTTCCAGCTCAAATTAAGGTTAAATACGCTTAATTTAAGACATTTTTACTTATTTTTAGATTGTTTTTCCAGTGTGCATTTAAGCCTTCCTCTTGAGGAGCAGTTGGCTGTCATTGTGCGGCACCTGGGGAGCAGTGTGGGGTTAAGGACTTTGCTCAGGAACCCAGAGTGGAGGCTGTGGGGATCGAATCAAGTACATCCAACCTTCTCATAGCACAAGTGCACTGCCCTAACCACTAGGCCAACACTCCCCACCAGCTCATATAAGAATCACCTGTATAATTTGCTACTTCTTCTTGTTTTGATATGATAAATTAACCATTAGAACACTTGTGCCATTTTCCTTAAAGCTTTGTCATATGGTTGTGAAACTTCTCCAAATAAACTTTCTGGTTGCATTTCTGACACTGCAGGTGCTCTGTGTTAAGGGCTTGAGGTGTGGTGTCAATGGTGTTGATGATGGTGACCCCAGTGCACCGCGCACAGAGAAAACTACAGCACAGGACTGCATCTTGCTCTCCCCTCGAAACGATGCCTACCATGACCTACAAAGCAGCCAGGTAACATATATGTTTGAAATGCATTGGGGGGGTTATATTTGGAGAATCTAAAAGGGAAACATGAAAATAAATGTGTTTCTTAATGTACATACTGCAAATAATATCTAATACCTTTGTTGCCTTTATCTTTTTTTGATTTCTTTGACTTCTCTTTATATATGGGGTCTTGCAATAAATATCGCACACATGTTTACAATTAATGTGTAGTTGAATGCAATTCAGTCTGTCAAATTCCAAATCAGCCGCCTCTGCCTTAATACCACTGTACACTTTCATAAAACAGCCTTTGAAGACAGTTAGAGAGCTTACATGAAAAAAAAGGTTTGGCTCTTTTTTTGCAGCTTCATGGAATCCAATTAGGAAAGCTTTAGATCTGCTATAATAGCTCTGAGACTCCCTTTATGTTACACAAGCCAGTTCAAGGTTATTAAAACATAAGTCACAGAAGTTGGGTTACTGATCTTATATGAGCCTCGTGGAAGTTGTAAAAGCTGTTAAACTACTTAGACTATATTTCACATTACTGTAAAATGTAAAAAAAACATTGGTTTTCTACAACGATTCCAAGTACAAGTATTGTACCATGAACTTGTTTTCATCGTCCTATTCCGTTTAAAGCTACAGTGTGTAATTTTCAGCGACATCTAGCGGTCAGACTGCAGACTGCAGCAACATGACCGTCTCCCCCCCACCGCTTCTCCCCCCCAACAGTACGGCGAGCGTTACGGGACAAAATGTCTTCCACGACGTCGGAATCACCTACCTTCTCAAGTGATGAGGTTTGTTTACATAGATAATTTTACAGATAGTATTTCATTAGTCTGTGTAGGGTATAGATTTCATGTAGACTTAAGATAATAAATATACCCGTTATTTTTTCTACGTCGTTTTGACGTTTTGGTGAGCTGCTTTGCATGTCTATAAACAGACGAAGTAATTGTAGTCATTAGTTTAACAGCAAGATTGTGTTCGCTGGAAGAATATATATTCCCTGTTTACAGAGTCCAAGTCATGTTTGTGGCACGGGGGTTACAAGGCGAGGAAGAGGGAGAGGAAGAGGGCGAGGGCAGAGAGGCCGGGGTGGGCGTGCAGCCAGGGCCAGGCGAGGGAGGGGTGCCAGCGGGGTGAGAGCAGAGGAGGAAAGGCTTGAAGATCTCCAAAGGAGCCGGAGAGAAGTAACCGAGGTATATATCCAGAAAATTATTTTACAGAAAATTACTGAATCATTACCTGTGAAACGTCAGGGACGTTGCTGAATAAGTATACTGGAGAGTAACAGCATCATCACGCAGCATGTTATTGTGTTAGACAGGTCTGAGCATCCTGTACTCCAAAAACTGCAGTGATATTAGACAATTGTGTTTGTAGGATTAATTACCTGTCCAAGAGAAAACTGGCAACTTGAGCGTCACTTTGAAAACCTTTTTCCTCCATCAGTGACTTCCATCGTTTAAATGCCGTGCCAATGTTGATCCGTGTTTTTTGTTGTTTCTTGTCACGCTTGCGTTTATTCTCGTCGTGTTTCCGCTTCTTAGATGACGGGGGTTCGGTGTCCGCCGCTTTTCGTTGTGATACAGAGTAGGCATGATCCTCCATTCGTCCGATGTTTGGCCACACAGTGCCAAACAGTTTGCAAAGTCACTCACGCCTGCCGCCTTGTTCACCTTTCTTGTTACTGAGGCGCAGTATACCTGCTTCTTCTTCTTCTTTGGTTTCAGGCAGACTAAACGCTTCTCAGGCATAATACTGCCATCTACTGTTCAGTACCGTCTCAGTTCATCTCTCTCAACTTGCCGTAGTTATTTTTGAGCGTAATGGGAGATCTCGCAATCGCTAGTTTGTTGCCTCTGCGCTTGCCGTAGCGCAAAGATGTCTGCCTCCATGGCTGCGAGACCCGCTCCTATGTAATTATAAATAACGAATTCTAAGGCAACGCAAATATTATGGTTAAAAGGCTGAGCTCATAGGTGATGATAAATAACATAGTTATGTATAATATATTAAATTTCTGACTTTATATGCCTGTAATTATTACACACTGTAGCTTTAAAGCAAAAGCATGATGAATACGAAGAAACACAGCAGACAGCTCAAGGAAATACTTAGTGAAATCTAATGTAGGTGTGAGTTTTGGGACCGTTTCCTAAACTTTCAACATCCATTCCAAGTAATCGCTGTCTACTTAAACTGAAAAGCCAGACATGGCTTAAGGTTTTGTAATGATCTTAAAACAGAACGCCCAATGTTCAAGGCGAGACAGACACTGGGAAAGTTCAAAGTGTTTATTGAACTACAGCATCGTGGAGTTGATCGTCAGCAGTGGTGGGCTCACTGGATTCTCTGTAGGAGTAGAGGCTCAGGTCAGTGACTTCCAAACTCAAACGAGGAACAACAATGAGCATGAAAGCCACCAACCTGGCACTGTTCAGCCCTAGCCCAGAAGAAGCGGTGAAGTTCCAAAGGAGCGGGACTCTGTTGTTTGTTATGGAGCCAGTACCAGAGATCCAGAAGAGAAGAGGAGAAGTGTCTTGTGGCAGCCAGAGCACGCAGGGGAACCGATGGTAACTGGTCAGGAAACAGACAAAACTAAACACTGGGAAAGCTAGAGTAGTCTCGCTAGAAGCTGAGATAGAGAGAGGCTGGGATAGGGAGACATAAATAGCATCAGGAACAGGTGGATCGGGTCAGAGATCATGAGCGCAGAGCAGAGCAAAGCAAAGCAGGTGAGAGAAAGAGGAAGACCCAGCCTGAAGGTGCCAAGATCATGACAGGTTTCTTTCCAGCCATCAGGACTGACCTTGAACTGTTTTATTTTTGAAGAAGAATAGGCTAAAATTTTGACCTCTGCCTGCCCTGCTAATAAAGACAAACCCAAATCACTTTCAGCTGTTGCACTGATTTAAAAGGCCTTACAGTCTACACTATTATTTCAGATTATTTGCTGAACATATTTAAAACCACATTTCCTTTCCCCCCACCCGTAAATCTGCACTGGTGTTTTATAGATAGTATCGCTTTTACGTCACATATCCGAGTGTGAGCCTAGTGAGGATCACTGCCATATTAGGAAGAGTAAACTGACAAAGCCACCAAAGAAGCAGACAGTACTCACCGTAAATTTTAAAAGTGGTTTGAGTCCTACTGATTTATGTATACCAAGAAAACCTTCTACTACAAGATAAGGGCAAGTATGGCAAAACATTTGCGCTAATCCACCGGGAAAACAGCACCAGTGTGGGGAAATGCTTCAGCTGACAAAGGCTAAGTGCGGAGGGTCAAGAAAGTATGGCAGAAGATTGGTTAAGTCCACCCGGGGGAATAGTGCCAGAACGGGAAGAGGCTACAGCATGCAGAGGCTAGCTATAGAGGCTGACTACAGAAGATCGAGAGATCCTGGTAGAAGATCCGATAAGTCCGCCAGGGAAAAAGAGCACTGAAGGCAAGGGAGAGGCTTCAAGTGGCAAGGAAAAGCACAGAGGTAATTTGAAGAAGCCTGCCATGGAGTCAGAGCATAGAGAGGCTACAGCTGACCGAGGCTAGCCTCTAAGCTAACTGCGGGAGATTTAAGAGCACCACGGATAATAAGAGAGGCATGTTCGAGCACACTGATGGAGAGAAGGCAGCAGTTGTGCAGTGTTTGCACTGGAGGTAGGACCAAGAAACAGTCCTTCTAGGGCTAAATTTAAACAGTTTTTCTTTTTTTTAATCCTCCTAAAACCCTCTTTAGAGTATTCCCAATTCATCCTTTGGCTACATCATTTTCTCTATCTTCCACTTCTGTTTAAAAAAGCTTGTCTCTGCTGCTTTCTTAACTAAAACACTTGTCAATTCATGATACTTTCTCATCTCCTAATTTTTAGACTCAATAATACACTTCCAATGCTTACTACACATGTAGGTCCATTTTTTTATTTGTCAAGTTTAGCCATTTTTGCCGATCCTTCATAAAGCTTGCACCCAAGCTGATCTTTTTTCAACATTCAAATAAAATAACTTGGAGCATCTGGTAGTAAAGTTTGGGTTAAAAATAATAATAGTTAAGAGTTATGGAGAGATTTTCAGGCCACAGTATTCATGGTCTCTGGTAGCATCACTGTTAATCGGTGACCAGAAGTTCAGCCTCCTTTTTTTTGTTTCTTAGTACATTTAGTGGTATTTCTGTTAATTTTGTGACCTTCTCTGCCTTCTAAAGATCCTCCCCCATCCCACTGATTCTCTTGACCCTCAGACTGCGGCTGACCGGAGCCACACCATCCCTAAACACCAAGTTTCCTCCACGTTCCCAGGTACAGCCACTACAGCAATAAACTCCAATGTAACTTCTGAGACAACTGCCGTGGAACCTCCAACCATCACAGCCCTTACTACAGCCTCCTCATTAGCCTCCATTGCTCCACAAGGACAGTAGTGACTGTGGGTGTAAAGGGCTGGTTATACTCCTGCAGCAGTGTGTCGCAGTGAGCTTGACACAGATATTTTTGATTTATGCTCAATATTGAAGCGTGGTCTGTGCTATACGCTGTGGGTCTAGATACGGCCGGGGTGATAAGGAAGTGGGGGCGAGTTTAGTCCAACAATGGAGGGACATGACGGCGACAAATAGCGGGGATCCAAGTGGAAAAAGGGTCCCAGAGTTCTCGCACAGCTCGATCTTCTAGTTGGTCAAACTTCATGAGTTGTTTTCCGCAATTTCGGTCATAAAAACAAAACAAGCCGGCCTCCTGTCTGCAGCACTGTCTGCAGTCAGTTACAATTTGGGAGAGGTGCAGCGGAGTGTCTGTGGAGGGGGCGGGGACGTCTTTTTGTTCACTGCGACACCTACGCAGAGGACCTGGTTTCGAAGTATAAATCAGCCTTAAGAGTGCATCTGTAGATGAGAAATATGCATGCTCGAGTCACTCATTAAAGAGTAATACCTTAAGAACCATATTTTACTAAAATCTGCAGGCCTTTTTTAATTGAATTACAGCATTTGAGCTCATCCCTTTGAGACTCAAAGATTTTTGTTTCCCAAAGCCAAACTCTCCATCAAAATTCCCCTGACATAAGTACCTTTTTGTCATCTCTCAGAAATCATCTCAGCGCTCCTGAAGGGAGAGAGAAACATCCATGTGATGTTTCTTGTTCTTTTTTATTTGTGTAAACAACTCTTAGAGCAAGTAACAATACTTCCACTTAGTACACTTAACCACCTCTGCATCAAGAAAATACAACAGATACAATGTATTTCATATACTGTAATTAGTAACATAAGTTAATTGTCCTATTTCATGGTCACCAATTTCAAATTTCCTACCATACAGTTATGATTAATACAGTATGTATTCATCTCTGGCTTCAGAGATGCATTTTAATCTTTCTTTTTTTAAAGAGAAATTATGGTGGAAAGCACAACCTTTTGGCTTGAAGAAACAAGATTAAATTAAAATAAATATATACACAATATATACATTTATATAAGATTAAACAAATATCACCTCAACCACTCAGTTTTTGCAACCAAGCATGATGTCCAAGTATACATTTTCGTGCAATGCGGATGTTTTTTTTTTTGTTTTTTTTTTGTTTTTTTTAATAGAACTAATGTAGTTAATTTAAATTGGCTGTTTTCCTGCAAGGAATTACTATCACATTCACTGCTTGGAATGTCCTTTCCACAGTTCTTACACCTACGGCATTGAAAATGTACGAGCGATGCTTAAGTGCCAGATTTTTGACAGGAAAATAAAACCAATTAAAATAAGCTAGCATTTCTGATGGAAACAGTGGCCCAAAAATTAGTTGACGACTGCTGAAACCTTTCCTGCAAGTACGCACTGAACACTCACCAGCTTTTTCAATGACAAATAGCCTTTTTTCCTCAACAACTGTGAAAAAAAAGAGGAACTCAGACTGTACAATTCATTGTTAAACCAACTAAATCCAGCTGGTTGAAGTGTTTACAATTGTTTTTATATTTTTGCCTACTTCCAATTGCCTCATGACACTACTTTTCCTTCCTTGTCAAACTTTTCATTGGCTGTTGACAAGACATTACTACTGGGTCAGTAATCCATTTACACTTTCTGAGTGAACTTGTCAAATCCAAAGACATTTAAATGTGACTGAGTGTGGTTCTGCTCTGTTTCCCTCACACTGTTTTGATTATTTACGACTTTGCCCTTCGCACACTAACAGCTTTTATGTACCAACCTACTGTACCATGCCCCGACTAATCCAGACTGTAGACAGACTGTTTCCAGCTTTCTGGATAAATTGGGGATTGTCTATATCTATCTTTATGATGCATGCATTATGAAACACACACACACACACACATATATATATATATATATATATATATATATATATATATATATATATATATATATATATATATATATATATATATATATATATATATATATATATATATATATATAATGTATGTACATACATATGATATACCTTATACTTTTGACCAAGACTGTGGTGTAATTAACCTCTACACATTTTGTGAAGTCTAATACTGTACATTATCTGTTATATTTGTGTAACCTTTCTTGCCATTTTTTACAGTTAGTATATCTGGCTGGCAGCGCAGTTGATTGAATTTGACCTCTTTCTGCTTTAACCTTTTTTTTTTTTTTGTGCTGATGTCTGAGCTTTTTTATTCTTTGCTCTTCTGCTCTTATACAGTGGGCTATATATGGATATAATTTCTTTTTAGAAAAGATGCCGTTTTTTTTATTCCTCACTTTAGCGTGAGCACGTTGCTTTACTGTGTGTGTTACTGTGTGATATAGCTTTGAGTAATTCAACTCTCAATTACCAAATGTGGTATTTGCATGTGCAGCTAAGCACATTTGGCCTTTATCATAATTATAACTGAGATTTTAGCTGTTACATATTCCGAATTGTAATTGGGACAATGTAAAAAATAATGGCTTCACTGCCATTAAATGTACTTATTTTTAACTGATAGTTACTCAATTTAGAATAGCAATTGAGCTCAGTATAGTGATTTTTTTTTATTCTATTGTTTACAAACTGAAAAACTATAAATAAAAATTCAAAGATGTACATTAAGTGCTAGATTTTGCAAGTTGTATTAACATACTGTTGTTTGTGTTTTGTTTCTTATAGTCCATCATTGTATAAACAAATTAATTAAGTTTAGAAATACATATGATTATTTTTTTTACAATTTATTGTGAAAGTACATTAGACCAAATGTGAGCAAAGAAAACCTCCTGCTGCATTGTTGTGCCTTTTGTGTCTTGGAAGAAGTCACTTTGAAGCTCTATGCAGAAGGTGACAGGTTGAACATTATGAAGGACCAACTCTGCCATATTTAAAAATAAATACAGAAATAAATAAATGCTCAATAAATGTATAAGCATACAATTAATTGCCAACAAAAAAAGTGAGACATAAATGTATATAACTCTTAATTAGCTTCTTTATTTATTTGCCTTTGTAATATTTACCTTATTTATTTTTCTGTCCTTTATAATCTTCAACTTTATTTTTTAATTACTTATATTTTTAAGTATTTATTTATGTGCATGTTATAATATTTTTGTCTGTTTTATTCTTCCTTTGTATTTTTTTTACCTTAGCTATTTCTTCGCCGCTGTTTATTTCTCTCTGCCCTTTTTACATTTCTCTCTGCCCTTTTTACATTTCTCTATGCCCTTTTTACATTTCTCTATGCATTTCTGTCTCATTATGCAAATGAGGAGGGGGTGTGTCCTAGAGAGTCAACTTCTGCTCATTGGTTGGCTTGGCGGCCCATCTTCTTAACTCACAGAGCTCAGAGTACTAAGTTAAATATTCTCTTTTCTGTTGCTGTTGTTCAATAAAAGTACGTTTTAAGATCATTTGAGGCGAGAACCTTATACTTTTAAGCATCACCATATGGCCCATTCACAGATTTAATGCGTAATTTAAAAGAAAATGTGACGAACTTGAGAGGACCGCGGCAACCAGCAAAGCTCCGAAGCTGACGGCAGCCAGGTCTAACCACAGCCCAATCTGCAGCGGCCCTCTCTCGGCATAGCCGTGTGTGAAGCGTGTTGGTAAGCATTTTACTACATCGGTCGAATCTACAGGAGGAGAGTCTGATGTCGAGTCTGAAGTCATTAGAACTTGAGTAGGGACTTTGCCAAACTTTGCCAAATACAACAAAAAATCGCCATCATAGCATGGCTATAGACCTGGCTGCCGTCAGCTTCGGAGCTCCGCTGGTTGCCACGGTCCTCTCAAGTTCGTCACATTTTCTTTTAAATTATGCATTAAATCTGTGAATGGGCCATATGGTGATAAGGTTCTCGCCTCAAATGATCTTAAAACATACTTTAATTGAACAACAGCAACAGAAAAGAGAACATTTAACTTAGTACTCTGAGCTCTGTGAGTTAAGAAGATGGGCCGCCAAGCCAACCAATGAGCAGAAGTTGACTCTCTAGGACACACCCCCTCCTCATTTGCATAATGAGGCATAAATGCATAGAGAAATGTAAAAAGGGCAGAGAGAAATGTAAAAAGGGCAGAGAGAAATAAACAGCGGCGAAGAAATAACTAAGGTAAAAAAATACAAAGGAAGAATAAAACAGACAAAAATATTATAACATGCACATAAATAAATACTTAAAAATATAAGTAATTAAAAAATAAAGTTGAAGATTATAAAGGACAGAAAAAATAAATAAGGTAAATATTACAAAGGCAAATAAATAAAGAAGCTAATTAAGAGTTATATACATTTATGTCTCACTTTATAATTTAATTTCTACTTACATTTATTTGTTTATTGTATTTTTGTTGGCAATTAATTGTATGCTTATACATTTATTGAGCATTTATTTATTTCTGTATTTATTTTTAAATATGGCAGAGTTGGTCCTCCATAGAACATGAGCAAGTGGACAAAAAAAATTAAAATAAAGGAGGCAGTGTGGAAACTGATCATAGGTTGTAATCATCAAGCCTTTTACACAGAAATGTTTTGAGTAAATAATATTCCTTGTTGTAAAGATGTGAATGTTCTTGAAATAAAATGTTCTCAAAGTCTGGTCACATTTCTCAATGTTTTTGTTGCAGAAATGCGTCCTACCATCTCCAAATAATCATACTGACTCTGTTGATTAAAATCATTGAGTGGATTTTCGGAGGACAGAAGGCTGATTTTTCATCTCGAGGACTGTTTCTGCTTTCAAGCTCAGGTTGAAGTTCAGCGTTATCTTATGTGTTTATTTTATAGACCTGAAAACTCAACACAGATTGAAAACTCTGTACCAGCCTTAAAGGACCTAGCACACAAGTGAAATACACCCAGTCATAGCTACTATATCATCTTTCAATGAGAAGGTTTGACTTTAAACAGGCCTTACTATTTTATATATTTTGGAAGAGTTCTTGTGCACTGGTAGGTTTTAATGAAAAGTCATCAGACAGGATAGAGAGTAAGAGGAGAAAGAGAGCAAATACAGCAAAGGATCTCATTTGTTTATAAAGAAATGCTTCACAAGACAGTAAAGGTGTAAATTCAGGAAAGGTTATT